TGGCATTAGCAATAGTAATATTAGAATTAGCAATAGCTGTATTAGCAATAGCTGTATTAGCATTAGCGGTAGTAGTATTGGCATTAGCAATATTTGCATTAGAAGTAGTAATAATAGCATTAGAAATGGCAGTATTAGCATTAGTACTAGTATTAACATTAGCGGTAGTAGTATTGGCATTAGCAATATTTGCATTAGAAGTAGTATTAGCATTAGCAGTAGCAGCAGAAATATATATTTTTAAATAAGTATTTTCCAAAGGATTTTAAGAAATCTCAATATGTTTAAACAGGATAACTTTTTGTACGTAAAAGTTAAGTTTATGAAGAGTCTTTCATGCGAGTTCGCTCAATGGGGTCACCCCCTGTAAAAGGGAGCAGCCAAAAGAAAGTTACGTTTTAAACGTAAAAACAAAAAGTCATAACATCCATCTCCTGGATGAGCTGAATGTTTTGATATGCAAACGATTAAACAAACACAAAGTGTGTGGAAGTAATTAGAATTTTTTTTTTTAAATGCATGGAAAATGTTAAAAACAGGAAATTAAAACAATAATTATGCTTGGCCAATGAACAGGTCCTACTGGACCTCAGTGATCTCCTTGATGGGTGCATCACCGTTTGGACTCAGTGCAAAGGTTAGACCAAGGACGAGCAAACACCGGAATGACTCGGACACAACACAGAAGGTGTGCGGACGTCTGACAGAAAACAAGGTCAGGTTTCTGCTCATGGAGTCCAGAAACCATCCACACGTTCAAACTCCTTTCATGAGCAGCTCAAAAGAAAAGAAGCATCTTGCTCAGTCTGCACATTTCAGAGAGAAGAACTGAACAGGTCACATTTAAAGACGAGTTAGTACAAAAACAACTGCTTTGTACTGGATATATGAAGTAATTACAACTGTTATTATTACTCATAACTTTTATAATGATTACAGTTATAGCAACATTGTTATCGGCCATTTTTTTTATTAAGGCTTGCTGCTGAAGTCTAAAGAGCGATAACGTTTTTGCACATGGCAGTAGTGTTAGCAAAATATCTTATATACCAGTGGATGGATTTAAATGAGTCTCTCAGAAAGTAATCTTTGTATACATGTCTACAACTGATGAGTTGTTGAACTCAACCCAGTTCAAGATGGCTGCCACAGGCAACTGAACCTAAAAACACAAATGTTTTATAAACCAGTGGGTTTTACAGAAACCGACCTAAAATTTGGTGTGGTAGTAGCTGAGACTGATCGCTGATGCCCGACATTAAAGCACAAACAAATCGCATCAGATCCTTGTTTACAACCTAGTCAATAACTGTTAAGAGTCAACTCTGTCGGTCTGTTAGCAAAATATCACAGAAACTCCTGGATGGATTTTAATAAAACTGTCAGGACTTGTTTATTGGATATACGTTTACATCTGATTAGATTTAGGAGCTAATCCAATACAAGATGGCCACTGCAGCCAACCAACACTAAAATACACAAAAATGGATATAATTCTGTCAGTTGTACACATATTGTGGTAAAATTTGGTGTGGTAGTAGCTGAGAGTGATTCACAACACGTACTCCATGTGCTACTCAGTGTGGAGCCATTTTGCTTAACCTGTTGGGAGTCAACCGTGTTTGTCTGTTAGCAAAATATCTCAAGAACCACGGGAGAATTTTTAATGAAACTTTCAAAAATTAATCTCTGGATGAACATCTAGGAATGTTTTACTTTTGGAGTCAATCCAACTTAAGATGGCCGCCACAGCAGACTGGGATTACCCAACACAAAAATGGCTTTAACTCGGCCAGTTTCACAGCCATGGAGCTAAAGTTTTGTGTGGTGGTAGCTGAGAGTGATTCACAACACGTAACCCGAGCGCTAAAGGATCTCAAAATGTGTCGCAAGTTTGCACGTGATCAAACACAAGGTTATTTGTTATGGCTTCATTCTGCAACTGCTTGAACATAAGTTTTAACTTCGGTGTGTGCTGTTTAAAACAAGTTGGTTCTCGTGCAGGGAGGCACGCGAGCTGAAGTGAAGCAGCAGCTGTTCACGTACAGTTGCAACATCTGTTACCACGTTGACAGGACATGTGTAGCCTTCAGGGCTGGTTTACCTTTTAAATCTATTAACAACACTCATTCATAAATTAGTACTCACATGCTGGCGCCTTGGTGGTTATCAGTAAATGCTGTGAATCCGTTGCCAAGGAAGTGGACCGAATGTAAACACTTGTTTATAGGTTTGATTCCCTTCCTGCTAACCTGACGCAAGCAGTTACAGACACGCTGCTGCTGGTAGGAAGTAGGAGAGGTGGGTTTATGTACACAAACACGGGAGTTGCTTCTGGACGGCCGAACAGGCGCTCAAACAGCCTCGACTCTCACGCTGTCACTCGGGCTCCACCCGTCCCGCTCACTCCCTCTCATGTGTAGAAAATGAGCTAAGACTTCGGAGCTACTTGCTAACTGTGCACGGAGGCTAACGGAGCTAGCAGCTGCTCTGGCGGATATGGGCAGACTGCGCCTGCCTTCTATTTAATCTCCCTCTCTGCCTCTTTCATCCCCGCTGTTCGACGTGACGCAATGGGGGCACGCCCCTCTTCGGCTCTGGACCAATCAGAAGAGGGCCCATGGCAGCACGCGGTGAGCGGCACCATTTAAAGAGCGCCAACCGTCCAGTCCATGGGTTCATTCGCGTTTTAACTCCAAACCTGTCAGCAGCAAAAAAAATATGCAGTCTGTCTGTAAGCTTTCTTTGGAGTTTTAATACAAATAAAATTAAGTTTTTAATATGTATTCATTAAAATTTCACTGCAGACAGTTACACTTGACATAAAGGGATGCAATTAGCTTAGCTTTAGTTACTGCTACAAATACTACCACTACGCACTGTTTTATAGTTAATTTATGAGGAATATGTTGAATTACAATGTAATAGATTTATTTGAAATGCAGTTCAAGTCATATTACAATACTCCAATTTGTTCCCATTAAATTAATGGGAACAAATTACCATACTTTGTCCATCCATTATCTATAAAATAAAAAAAACTTAAATTTATATGAATCATTTGTGAATGTCTATTGTTGTCATTGTTATCCACTGTTGTCATCACTCTGTTAAAATCCAGGTCTTGTGACTCAGTGGGGCTAACCTGTTTAAATAAAAGATGAATCTGTAGATGATGGATGGATGGATGGATGGATGGATGGATGGATGGATGACTGAGAAACATTTTTCTTTGATTTTGTATCAAACTGAATTATGTTGAACTTGGATTAAAATGGACTGTCCATCCATTCATTAAATTGTAAAGCACTCTGATCAGATTTTGTTTTTATGTGCTATATAAATAAATTGACACATCCATCCATCCATCCATCCATCCATCCATCCATCCATCCATCCATCCATCCATCCATCCATCCATCCATCCATCCATCCATCCATCCATCCATCCATCCATCCATCCATCCATCCATCCATCCATCCATCCATCCATCCATCCATCCATCCATCCATAATCTTCAGCTGGTTCCAGAGTCAGGTCCCAGGGGCAGCAGTTTGAGCAGGGAGGCCCAGACATGTCTTTCCACAGCCACCTCTTCCAGCTCTTCTGGGAGGACTCCAAGGCGTTCCCAGGTCAACCTAGAGACGTAGTATCTCCAGCGTGTCCTGGGTCTTCCTCTGGGTCTCCTTTCAGTCGGTCATGCCTGAAGCACCTCCAGGGAGGCGCCCAGGATGCATCCTTTTTAGATGCCCGAACCACCTCAACTGGCTCCTTTCAATGAGGAGGAGCAGCGGTTCTACTCCAAGTCCATCCCAGATAACTGAACTTCTCACCCTGTCTCTAATGGAAAGTCCAGCTACCCCGCAGAGGAAACTCATTTCAACCTCCTGTATCCATGATCTCATTCTTTCAGTCACTACCCAGAGTTCATGACCATAGGTGAGGGTAGGAACGTAGACCGACCGGTAAACAGAGAGCTTTACCTTACAGCTCAGCTCCCTCTTCACCACAATGGACCGGTACAGAGTCCACAATACTGCAGGTGCTGCACCAATCCATCTGTCAATCTCACGCTCCATTCTTCCCTCACTCGTGAACAAAACCCCGAGATACTTGAACTTCTCCACTTGAGATAGAACCTCACTCTCGACCTGAAGAGAGCAGTCCACCCTTTTCCGACTGAGGACCATGGCCTCAGATTTGGAGGTGCTGATTCTCATCCCAGCCGCCAATAGGACCACATCATCTGCAAAGAGCAGAGATGGAATCCTGAGGCCACCGAACCAGAATCCCTCCACCTGTTGTAAAACAGTGCCATGTAATTTATTTTATTGCAGCAGATCAATAATAGAAGGAAAGACTGGAATTATAAGAACTGATTTATAAAACACAGGTGGGGGGGGGACACTAAAAAACATTTTTTTCAACTCAGTAGTATAGACTATCTGGCAACAGGTCATTGACATGATTGTGCGTAAAACAGTCGTTCTTTAGATTTCAGTCTTTCAAAGCTAAAGAGGCAGAGGTCATTACTTTGTGAAAGACGTGAAAGCAAACAGATCAATAACTTGGGATTTCTCAACCTTAAAATGCAACGATTCCAGGGACGTCGTCACTGTGTGGGTTGAGCTAAAGTCATTAAAGGAATGAGAGCATTGATGGCATCGTGGCAGGGAGGTCTACTAATTTAATCACGGCTGTCTTGAACGTTATTCTGCTTGTTCTGGAACACATCACAACATCCCACCTTCTTAAACATGTTCTTTATGAACTACTTTTAAAGGAATAAAGAGTTCATACTCTTAGCAAATCACTGAACTCACTTCGTGTTGACTTTTTTTTTTAACTTTTACAACCTTAATTCAGTTGTTCTAACTGTATTTTCATGAAAATTTAGGGATTTTTTTTAATGTGTATTGATTTATGTACAAGTTTATCCACATAATTCAAGCATAACTAAGCTGTTAAGGCAAGTTCAACAAGAAAAGAAGCCTGAAAAAGGGTTAACGTGTGAAAGAGGAGAGGATCTCTGGATCAAGAAAGCTCAAAAGGATAAGATTTGATTACAGGCACTTAAAATAGTCCTTTGTACCGCTGCTTTGGAAAGTGGACCATAAGCTATTGTGCTTTTATCTAAAAACCATGTGATACTCAGAAAAAACTTAGCTCTTACAGAAAAATGCCTCACATTTGCTCCTGTAAATCAAAGAGAAAGCCAAGTTAAAATCTTTAAACTATTGTTATTTTCTAGAAATAGTCAAACATGGAACCCAACTAAAAAAAACGAGGATCAGAATTTAATTTTACTTAACATTTTGTCACAAACAAACATGTTTGATTCAGTGGCTCTTGATTCTTTATGCAAGAACGTACTTTTTTTTTTAACAATTGTTTATTCTCTCCTCACTTTCAGAAAACAGAGTTTGTGTAACTCCTACGAGGACGCGTTAATTTTCAAACCGTAAATTCAAAATACGTCCACTTATACTGGGACGTTCTGATCAGTTCAAATGATTCATAATATTGTCATGGCATATGGGTCAGGTTATTTTCTGATTGAGTTACCTATTCGCTTTCATCTCTCTCTAAATCAGTCTGCTTTGCAGTTTATAATATATATGTTTAAAAGTCTCAACAAAGGGAACATTCCTTCACATGATAGTCCTATCATCGTGCTTCATAGCTGTTATTTTTAGCTTTAGCTGTGAAAAGTAGCCTGTAATTTGCCAAACACTTCTCTGAGAGTGTCCAAACAACCCTGTTTTTGCTTCATCTGTCCAGACCACGTGTTTGCCGCGCTTCCTGCAGGTTCCTGAGTCCAGGGTGGCGCCAACGAGCATCAGCTGTGGATCAGCTCGCTAACGAGCTCCAGGTGTACAAGAGGCTGCAGAAGAGCTCCCTTCCCTGCTGGAGCATTACATGCCCATCCGTATTTTTGTTATCGGCCTCCTTGTGCTTACACCAAGACAAGTAACTTACCTTGTGTTTTCTTCGGGTTCTTCCAGAACCTGCCTCCTGAGCCTCCAGTCCTGGACGCCTCATCACCTACCTTGAATCCTCAATTCCTGTACCTCTGGATCTCTGCAAACCCCATCGTGATTTACCTTCAGCTGCTCCACCGTCATCCAACCACTTGCCATTTACTTATCTCTACACTCCACCTGCTCTCCCTAAACCTGGACCTAATCTACCTGGAATCCTCTGCCCTCCTCTCAATGCTACAACTCACCTGTAAGAAATCAACAACCTGTACTTATCTGTCATTCCTTCATTCCAGTCATCCTGACTCTTCTACTCCTTCCCCAGGTTTCCCAGGTTTTCAGTTGTTGGGGTCAAAGCCAGCCCACCCCAAGTGCAACTCTGTGCCCTGGAACGAAGTAGTAACAGAGGCAAAACAACCAACATGTGAAAAACTAAGCTTTGGTACCACATGATGTGATGAACTGATATCATTAATGAGCAACCAGCCGATCGTAGAATTTAACAACAAACAGGTGTACTGCCGAGGGAATTTTCATGATGATGCACAGCAACTTCAAAGTTAGTTTAAAACAAAAGTTAACCACAAAGATCATCACTAAAATGAGTTAATTCATGTTTTGTTACTGACATGAGGCAGACGTCCAACATGCATTTTATGCGTCGTGCTCTACGTCAATCCAGCTAAGTTCTGCTCCATGCCTCTTTTGGTTCTGTGGTGCTCGCATCATTTCTGACACCTCACGTCTGAGCAGGAAGTGGCTGGCTTCATGTATAATTTATGAACGGAGAGAGGAAGAATAAAAACTGACTGGTCTGTGCACCCATTTCACAGAACTGTTTTATGGAAGATGCTTTGGATTCAAAACGCACATCAGAAATGCCACGGTTTCATTTAAAAGAGGGGTTGCGTCAAAAGGCTCTTCGTTTGGAATGTGCCCCTAAAACATTTTTGTTTGAACAGCCCGATTCTCCTTCCCTTCACAAAAAGAAATTGGGACACCCATACCCCTGAGATGAACATGCAAAATTTAAGACATTCAAATTGAAAACCTCCGATCCACATTTCATAGACACTGATGAAGATTCTCAGTCATCCAGGACATGGTAAATTTAAAAAAAAGGTTAAAAACTTTCTCAATTCAAAAAACAAGGAGTGTGGATTCAAGTTATAAAGCAGAGGTGTTCTGTAAGTATGCATAATGCAGATTGACACATGCAGATTGACCTCTCACTCGTCACAATAAAGGATTGTTAAGGTCTTTGTTGGCGGGTGGAGGTGGGGCTGTGGGTGGGGCTAACAAAAACCCTAACGATCCTTTATTGTGAAGAGTGAGAGGTCAATCTGCATGTGTCAATCTGCATTATGCAAGCTTACAGAACACCTCATGTAAATAATTATTATAAGTACCTTGAATCCCGCACTCCTTGTTTCTTTGAACTGATAAAGCTCCTCGGGTGAGAAGCGAAATGTCTTCAGTTACAAATAAAGTCCAGTTGTTTTGTTTTTAACCTTTTTTTTTTAT